CAAAACTCACCAACATTCCCAGTAATCTCTTTGTCACCTAGAATTACTATAATAGTTTCTTCAAAAAGGACTCATGGGAACAATTCCCCCAAATTTTGGCATGTTCAAACCTGTTTGTCCTTATCCTTCACACGGTAAAAACAATTTGCCTAAATATAAAATTCTGAGCTCTCATTTTCCTTGAAAATATTAGAAATGAGGTTCTCTGAATGCTGCTACAGAGAAGACTAAAGTCATGTTGATATTTTTCCCTAAATAAGTGATTTGACTTTTTTGCTTGGCTGCTCAAAGATTTTTTTCTTTTATTATTCAAGTCTAGCAATTTTGATAATGTAAGTATTCATGTCAATTTTTACTATATTTTTATTAACACATTAAAATAGATCTCCATTTATTTTAGGAAAATTTTCTTGTATTATATCTTTCAATATTTTTTCTATTTTCCTTTTCCTTAAAGGATTTCAATTATGCAGACAATGGATCTGCTTGGTCTCTATACCTAATTATTTTTAGCTCTTTTTTGTTTCATTTAACTCAGTTTCAGTATTTCCACCTCCCATGTTGCCTGCTGAGTTGTCCGCAGTCTCTGGTGTTTTCCTGTGTTCTTTCTGATTTCGTATTCATTTCTGTGATATTTGTAGTACTTTCTTCCTGAACCTACCAACTCACACTGCACCTCTCTATTGACCAACAAGTTTTTTTCTTTAAGTCTTATATTTCTTTTTTTACTGTCTGTCTTCACAGAGTTATTGTTTTGTTTTGTTTTTAATTTATGGTAAAACATTCGATCACAATTTTCATTGGCCCTGTGACTTCAGCTTTCTAGGGACAACTTTTGTGAATGAGTGTTGCTATACATCCTTTTTCCTTTATTTGATGCTGTGTGTGTTCCTTCTTTGTTACTCATCATGGAGTTGAGCTGGATTTTCTTGACCAGCTCCTGGTATGTGGGGAGCAGGGAGTGTACTCTCGCAGCTTCACTGTGGCTCCGACTGCCTCCTGAAAATGTGCCATCCGTTTGATTTTCTGTGTACCCCTTCCACTTCTGTGCATTGAACTGAGTCTAGGAGGACTCCTGCCAGACTTGCTCACCAGTCCTGTACCTGGCACTGAAAACCCGGGATAGAGCTTTTCTCTCCCTCACCTGCAGGAGCAGTCTTTTTTTTTGCTGGCTTTGCTGAAATCTATCATTGGGCCCTCTTTCTGTACTTCATGCTTTCACTTCCCACTGTTTTGGCTTCTGTCCAACCCCAACTGTTTTTTGTTAGCTTTTACATATATGTTGAAATCTAAAGACAGGTATCCCCCCAGTCTTCCAAAAATAAAATTTGAGATTTTCCTTCTTTTTTTGTATGTATATTTTATATCACTGTGTTTTTTCAATTGTTCTCCATGGTTTTTTTTTCTTTTAAATGAATAACACTGACTTACATAGACATTTTGTATGCCATAAATACGTAGGATAATTTTAATAATCATACCCCGTACTGGCAGGGAAAAGAAAAGTACAAATTAGGAAAGAAAGGGGATAGGCATAAAAGTTGAATGAGGGGGAACAGATTATAGGAAATCTGCCTATAATTTTTAAAATATAGTGTTAACATACCAAAAGTAGTGCACTCTGATACAACTTCTCTGGGTCATAAAACCTGGTTTCATACCATATATATATTCTTCCCTCAACAGCTCCAGGATTGATTTGATTAGAAAAGTGAGGTTGCTGAGATTATAAACATGTGCCAATAATGTGGCAGGAAAATCCCCAAAAGAAAATAAATAGTATATAGTCAATTAAAAAGCATGAACTCAAGAAATATTCACTGAAGGAAAATAACTATTCCATTCATTTGAACGAGCCTCATAATCCTTAATTGCCAGTTCCTGGGCCACATCACACATTTACTAAGTCAGAATCTCCAGAAAGAGTTTGGAGTGATATGCATTTAACTCTTCAGGTGATCCTAATGCAAATTAAAGCATAGACCCCCTGGCCAAACATTCCCCCTCATTTACCAGCCAGCTTACAGCCTAAGGCCACAATGACAGGAAGCAGCCGAGCCGATGTGCAATACACAGCTCAGGTCTGACTCCACAGCCAGGGCTTCTGGTAGCTAACAGCAGAGATAGGATCTCTGAATGTGTATAAATCTTCAGATTTACAGAGAAGAAAAAAAGAAAGAGACAGACATGCAAATCGACCTCAAAAGGAAAGACTGCTAAAGAATATAAAGGGGTTCAAGCTTATCAGGTAATTTCACTGAGAACAATACAGTCAGGGCATGTGACCAGTGTAGTCACAGGAATCCATATTCAGAAGGGTTCCACACTTGGGTTTACATTTCTATGGTCACTATCTTGAAATTCATAATAATTTTGTTACGGGATTGTTGTTTGGTGATGAGCTCCAATAGGGCAGGGGAGCATGTGCCGGGGCTCAGAGTCTTGGCTCGCACACAGTCCCCCAACTTCCCCAGATGAGTTCTGGGTCCCCTGGCTCCCAGACACCCTCTCCAGCATTCCCTTTCCAGTCTTGCCTAGAGACCATTATTCTCTTAGGTGTAAGCATGGAAAGGGCAGGGACTGGGTGTCCACACCCCGAGGTGACTCAGGGCAGGCCACAGCAACAGCCACCTGCACCCTGGTGCACCTGGTGGGTGATCTGGTGGGGACAGCCTCTTGCCCGTCCCAGTCTAGGTACCCCATGCATCCTGATGCAGAGACTGCAACATACCTGGAGGGCACTTGTCCCACTGTGGGTTGGGCCAATGGGTCCATGGAAAGGGGACAGGCCCATGTCAACTTCTCCACTCTTGGCCACAGAAGGGCATGCATGTCAGCCTGGTAGCTGGCAGGAGACAGAACCCAGCAGCCATTGGGCCATGTGTGCACCAAGTCACAGAGTGGGCTCCCCAGTCACCTGTGAGGTCTGCACTCCTCACGAGCACCCTGCTGCCCAAGGGAGCCAGACATTTAGTAGCAAATGAAACATACCTCGACAGGCCAAGAGAGACTGTGGAAGAAAGGAAAAAGCTCTGTATGTCTAAGCCTTTAGTGGCATGTTTTGTGTGTGCTTTTTGAACGGGTGGCCACATTTTCAGTTTCCACTGGCCCCACGAGCTATGTAGCCAGTTCTGTACATAATAGATTGGAGGATTGAAGATACATCCCGATGCACCTGAAAGATGATAACCACGGTGGTGGCCTGGAACCTGTGGCCAAGGCCGGGATGCAGGAAGAGCATTCCAGCGCACAGCCACTGTTCAGACTCTCTAGTCCCGCTGCTCCTGTCCCGGCCAACCGGGCAGGGGAGCATGCCTGTTACTTTTCCATCTCACAAATAACACTGGAAAACTACAAGGAATTCAGGAAAGACAGTTCCAACTTTTGCTGCATACATTTAAAACATGAGCCTTCTACTTTAATCGTGTAAGCACTTCCAAAAGATCACCTTGGAAACTAAGACAATATGATCATTAGAATTAGCTAGAAGCAAATATTCTCCAGAGCAATCATCCTGGCTGCAAAATCCTTTTATTAGCTTACAGAGGACATTTCTCCAGCAGCCATAAGAAACATAAGGCAAGGGGAACAAAACACCCACTGCAGGGTTTCTAAAGGGAGGTGTAACATTTGGGTAGAAAAAACTCATTTTATTATATGTTTAGAGTGGTTCACAAGATAAATACAAATATGCTGTAATCACATTAAAAAAAATGAACCTGGTAACTGCCTACACATCTGCTTTTTTAGAGGGAAAATGTGTTTGGCTGCAGTAAATGATATGCTAAATGAAAATGCAAATTTTTATTAATAATTTCTCCTTTTAATACCATAGGATATGTACCCCTTCAGGTTAGAACGTTGCAATCTATAATCCTAGCAGAGATGTAAAACACCTAGTGCTTTATTCCAGTTTCCCAGGAAAAAAATACCATTTTCCTTAAAGAAATAAAGGGAAAAACCCTAAAGAGTGTTGGCAGAAATGAGAACCATAAAATAAACAAAACTGTTTGAATACGTGATAATAACTTTAAGATGAGACAAGTCATACAAATGAGTAGCAATATAAATACCATAAAATGAATAAAATTTGCTAAACATGGTCAAATCACATCTTAGAAGCCCGAGTAATTCTTCTAGAAAAATGAGAGGAAAATGAACCATTTAATGTACAAACACATAATACTTCTCATAGAACGTGACACTTCTGTTTTGCTCTTCTTTCTTGCCCTTTCTTGTCCAAGATAAGAGAGATATAAGGGTAAGAATGAGCTATTTGGAGGCTGTGATTTGCTTTCTGCTCCCCCGGCCTTAGATGGAGGGTTTCTGACTGCTGCCCTCCTCCTCCCCTCTTTGTCCTTAGGGAGACGTCAGCAGGGGCTGGGGGGCAGTCTTTCCCCTCCTCTTTCTCTTCTTCTCACCCCCGGTTTGGACTTGAACTCTCACCAGAGTAATCATCTCCTCTCCTATTTCCTCTTCAGTGAACCTGTAACTTCTGACCCTCCTGACCCTGTTCCTCATTCCTTCATGCTGCAACTCCTCTCTGTCGGTTCTCCCCGGTTTTGTTCACACGTGCCTCTGAACCACAACTGTGAGAAGATACGGACGATGCTCTAAGCACATGGGTGCTTTTTTCACACACACATTAATTACCTTCCTCAGCTCTACCCAGTCCCCTCCACAAAGTCACATCCAGTCAGTGTAAGTACTTGCTTCATGTCCCGTGAAATTCAAAGCGGCAAAGAATGAGAGCGATCCTCATCTAATCTAGCCTGTCCTTTGCAGACTAGTTCCTAAAATCAGCTGGAGTCGACAACAGCTCTCAAATACGCCCGCATTTGTTCGGCTCCTATCTGTTTGGTCTTGTCACAATGCCTGTATGCTTTCCAGCATGAAGCCGGGCAAAAGTCAGTCCTCCCGCCCCGCAGAGAAGAGAAACAGTGACTTCAGATCGAGGACAGGGGCATGTCAATTCATACCCCACAAAAGGACCGCCATACCTTTGTGATTGCAGTGAAGACCTTTTCCAGAATGGCATTGGGCTTGGCAATTTGTGGTCCACTGGCCTGAATGTTGAGGGCTATTGCACATGGTTTGGCTATAAATCTATAAAAAAAAAAAAAAAAGTCAGCAGTTATTCTTTCTAGAGCTCTTCTTAATGTCACCAATTACACTTCCCTCACTTGTCCCCAGAAAGAGCTAATGGGATTTTATGGATGGACATTGTTAACACTCCTACGTCAGTGGCTATAAAGCAGATTTCACTCTTTGTCTCTCCTTTGGTCCCCCAGCAGTAACTGTGAAAAAGAAATTCTTTTAAACATTGACACTGCCCGATCCTCAAGTTCTAATGAAACTGAACACAGAAAGACTCAAATAACAAATACAAGTATGTGTTTATACAATAAACAAAACAGGATATATAAACAAAATAAATCATGATTTTAAAATGATGGAATGTCTGCTCTTTAACACACGGGCTAGCAGTAGTCATGTTTTCACCATGAGAACGTACGTACCAACCCTCTGGTTACACATGCAGAGGGGTGTGCTTCCGATCACCCCGAGTCATAAAATTAACAATTTTTGTCTCTATATTCAAAGTGTCTTCTATTCAGCCCCAATTCCTTATGGCTTCTTAAAATTCTTTCTTTGTGGTTATTTGCTTCCTTCTCATAAACAGTAATACGGGATGTCAAACAGCCTGATGCCCCAGACAAGCTGAAAGTCTGAAATGATTACGAGGGAGGATCTGCTGCCTGGTTTTGATCCTAAGCAAATGACCAGGTCAAAAAGAATGGGAAGATTTGGCTTCATTTCTGGTCTTGTTTGATGAGCAAATGAGGCTCTGAAGGAGCGCAGGCAAAGGGCGTGGGGCACCAAAGGTATGGTCATGCCTCTCAAACTTTTTTAAAAGAAAAAGCATTTACAACTCTAGAAGTTGATTTAGACTAAATGTTCAAGAAATAAGGTTCTGTATATGTTCCTTTTGGGTAAGGGCATTTAACATTTTCTACTAATACAAAACAATATCGGATGAAAGTATTACTACAATTAATTTAATGTCAGCCAATGACAAAAACTGATAATGTACAAGATGGATCATGAGTAAATCTCAGATGAAGCTTCTTTAATAACAGTCGATGGGATTCAAACAGGAAAATGGAATACTGTGCTTGTAAGCCTAGAACAGGAAAGATACATACAGAAAATGGGATATAGTTCCTGTCTCCCTGGACTCTCTGGGACAAAGTTAGGATGAAAGAAAACCAACCTTCTTATCCTGGTGCATAAATGTTCTAGGAACTAGAGTTTTCCCAAAACGTTCACACTTTCCATTCTTTTTAATGTAATATTTTCTAAGACATATTATCTATTCCCCTACCTTCTTAAAGAGAAATCTATTTCTTTTTCTAATACCCCTGGATCTTCACTATGAACCATAATCACGGGGCCATGGCCAAGGCTGGTGGAAAGGACTGAAGTGTGATAGGTAACGACCACAGCCGAGAGTCCAGAACTTGTTTCCTGGACAAAAATTCCACTTGGCAGTGATTTGCCTTTTCGTACGAGGTATAAAGAGGGGTGTGAAAAGTCATGAGGTCCAGCAAAAGTGAAAGAAAAAAAAGTAAAACAGCGAAATTAATTTGGTGTAAAAGTCAAAATCAATGCTTCCAGTGGTTGCCTCTACTCTTCCCCGTTGGATTGCTCCTCAGCCCACCCTCCTCTTCCCCCAGAAATCTGCACAATTTCTGAAATGCTGTGTTCAAATTCCATTCCAGAATTTGTCTTCATTGTCTCTGTAACATCCTCCTGGTCTAGTACAGAGTCGTTTCACTTTTAAAGAGTGAAGAGCCTACAGGCAGAGCTCTGAACACACCTCCGCAAAGGTGAGGCGTAGGCAGGAGGGGTTAAGGAATCTCATCAACTGGCTATCTTCAGGGCATGTATTTTCACTGTTGCCTCCAATGTTTTGAGTGCTTCTGATAAGTTAACAGACCTTCTCTGTGTGCCCCACAGCACTGTGGGGGGCAGGCAGTAGGACAGTCAGGGAATTCTTTCAACAGAACCTCCTCAAAAGCAACATCCTCACCTTTGCTGTCATCCTCCAGTAACTTACAAAAGCATTCGCAAAGGTTTTTTAGTATCTGTTGCACAATCCCATGTTTTACACCTCTCTCCCCCATTTTTTAAGCTTCAAACCACTTCTTAAAACTCTTGTCTAGGTTTCAAGAACATAATGCAAAACAGCACCTTGACGAAGGAATATCTCTTGATCACCAAACATCAAATTTTGAGAATTGAAATAATCAAATAAATATCATGATCTATAAATATATTTTAAAACAATCTCCAAAGGAAGGAATGGAAATCAATCTCTGCTACTATCCAGCTGTGGAGACCTAGCTGCCAAAAATTTCTCTGGGCTTCAGTATCCTCACATGTAAAAAATTATAATAATCATCACATAGGGATATAAACGGCATGTGTATACAAACACATGTATATGTTGATACTGTCACATTTTCTATTTGTCTAAAATCTTTGACTTGAGCCACATGTATGGTTTCATATCATAGTACTCACGCACCATGACCAGCAACCCACTCGGCTGCAGCTGTGCTGTGCCAAGCCACGTGTACCTACAAAGTTCTAGAAGTACCAAGTGCAAGAGAGGAGACCAGAGACCAAGACAGGCAACTGGAAAACCCAGGGCCTTCAGGTACAGGGACCACTCGCCCCCATTTGCCCTCACAGCCTGCTTGTTGCAGCACTGCTATTAACGTACCATCCTTACTAACAAAAGCATCCCGGCTTGATATTTTGCCACAGTAATTTTTCCTAAAGCTTCCCCATTTGGACAATAAATTGTAGTGACCCTCATCATCAAGTCCCAGGCCTGGGGTGGATTGTGAGTCCACACCAGCAATGCCATCAGGGTCCAAGCTCATCCACACCTGACCTTCTCTCAGGGCCCAAACCTGTCCTGCTCCCCTGTCCATCCCCATGGCCCTCTCAGGTGCTGTGCTAGCTGCCATGAGCAGGTCCCCCTTCTGTGTGTGGGGGGGCCACTGTGAATGCCTTAGTGAAAGCCCACATCTCCGGAGCCTAGCACAAGAGCTCTTCTAATCCTCCCCCAGCCGCTTGAGGCAGGATTATCGTCACCCCACCTTGCAGAAGGGGTCAGAGAAGTCAGTAGCTTCTGCCTCCAGGGAAAGGGAAGCAGAAGACGGCATACTTCCATCCCAGGAAGGTCAATGTTTTCATCAGCTCCCCATCTTGATTTACTGGCCAGGTTAAGTCACAAATTCTGAGGATTTTGGGGGGAAGAATGGGGGTGCGGGGCATGAGAGACAAATTTAGCAGAACTTAACTCAATTTAAAGGTTGAAGTTCTTTACAGTTTAAATGGTCTATGGTGGGTATGCACACTGAATCAAACCACCTGAAACCTTTGAAAGAAGTTCCTATGTCATAGAATACTTCTATGCCCAGCATGGCATACTGTGGACACTCAAAGAACATTTACAAGATGGATGAATGAACAAATCAATTAAGAGGTAACGGTGGGTGCCCTTAATATCGTTTCCCTAGAGACGGCATATTTTAACTCTTGAATACCAGCATCTACTCAGGGTCCTCACTTGGGATTCAGATGGTAGGAGACTGACCCCCTCCAGCCCAGGAAGCCATTGCTATAATTCCTATTGTCCCTATGAAGTCAGGGTGCCCCCAAAAGGACTCGTGTAGGCTCCACCTCCACTCACTATATATGCTCTTTTCAAATTATCTGGTACAGATAGCCAAACATGTAATGTCCAAGATTTTAGAAATTCACAAGCTAGGCAGAAAACATTAATTTCAAATCTGAAATGAGAGAAAAAAAATACAATTTTTATCTTCTTAATTGTATCTCATTATATGAAAATGAGATTTCATTTGCATTTATTCTCCAAAGAATTTGTGAATCACAGCATTTTTTTTTCTTTCAGAGAGCATATTAGACACCAAATAAAACCCATAATACAATTACTATAATTGTATCACCTACTGTCATGGTTGATTAGAGAAAAGCTGGATTTTTTTTTTCAATGCTGACTCTAACATAAGTTCACAAAAGCTGCCTTTCACAAAGTTTGTCTTAAAAAAGAGGGACAGAGAGAGTTGGAGGGGGGTGTAAGAGAGTACCTACAAACAATAATTGAAAGGAAATAGGTACTTTCAAGCTTTGAGGATCACCTCTACCAGGAAATGCTCACATAATTACTTTTTTTATCAAAGGCAGTGACACCACCTTCAAAAGATCAAACATCTATAAAGTACTTTCATGTAATGTAACATATTTGCACATAAATATAATAAGGATGTAAGCTTTGAAAAATACTAGTCTTGATTCAAAAGCAAACACCTAAGATATTACTACTTTTTAATTCTATTTGAACAACATGTATTTGCATTTTATGCATGCATTGAACATCTTTGCATAGAGCACAAAGGTAGCTGTGCTGTGGCTAAAGGTACCCCAAAAACATGAAATGACCTTTGTGCTCAAACACGTTTATCGTATAGGAAAGGGGGTTAATAAAAATAAATACGTAACTGTTGACCAGTTCTATGTCATTTCTAATTCTTTAATACCATATAATCATCTTCAGTGGGGATCATGGCCAAAGACTTTTATTCCTTCCTAACTCCAGCACTTTCTAGTTTTCAAAATAGAAGGCTGTGGTGGTAGATACACATGTGATAAAACTGTACAGAATTAAATCACACACATACACACCCACTAAGGTACAATTGGCGAAATTTGAGTAAGTTCAATAGATTGTATCAGTGTCAATGTCCTGGTTGTGATATTATACTTCAGTTTTGCAAAATGTGGAGGCAAGTGGGTGAAAGGTGCATGAACTCTCAGTGTGCTGTTTTTTACAACTGCATATGAATCTGCAACTATCTCAATAAAGATTTCAATGACAAAACAATTGGAAGGCACATTCTGTTTTTGATGTGGAGGAACCAGGTCCTGATACATTATTTTTTCATCTTTAAAAAACTCTGTAAAACATACCAACCCCCTCAACAAGAGAACCTGCGGGCTCTGGAGAA